GTACTCACTCCCAGCCAGTCGCACTATGCGGGTGGCTCCTATAATAATAGGAATAGGCAGGCGGTATTCACAGAGCGGTCAATGGTAGAGGTACCGGGGTACAAATACTCATGCAACGCCACTGTAGACAACATCAATAACAAGCATCTTTACCACCACCAAGCTTTTTCCATAACAGATTGGTAGCATGTCCAGGCCTTGACATACCCGCGCAAGATGCCGACATTCTACAGCTAGTCCCATGGGCGGCAATGTACGGTATCATTGACTCTTTCGGGAATGAAAATGTCCGCCGACGCAAGCGCGCGCGCCGAGAGAAGGAGCGCCATGATAATTCTATATCTAATACACACATTCCGTCCTGGAGAAGGGTCGCCATATCGAAGCCCCTCTCTGGCCCGCTACAAAATACAGAGCTGCGCTTCCGTATCAGTCAGATTGACAGTGCCCCAGACGTCGTCGGTCCTGTTATATCCCTCCTGCTGGCAGTAGAGGCCTTGTTTCAGAACGTCGGTGGCTCTAGGAGGCTGGAACGTATTGCCTCTCTAGGCCACGCCGGCCTCGTCGACTTCCGCGCGCGTTTCGTCGAGGGAGACCCCCGCGTTACCCGCGCTATGCGTGAGGGGCTCGGCACCTCACTGAACGCCATCCGCGACGCCATAGCATTTGCTGAGGGCCTGCTGCTAGTTGACCGATGCATTGAGATGGTAAAGGATGATGCCGTAAGGCTTGAGGTCGAAGCCATAGCATCCATGATGCGACCTCCACCGGAAACTCCTTTGCACGAAGGCCACTTGATTTCTAACTGAGGCTGCCGAGGACGGCAGCACCCTTTCCGAAGGGGGCACATGTGAGAGAGCATATTACATAGCTTACATAAGCTCTAGTTGGTTACACCTAGAGCGTAGACAACATCAACAAGCATCTTTATCACCACCAAGCTTTTTCCATAACAATCAATAACGCCTGTGTGCGGATCGGGAGGTTTACCAGAGAGGCCGTGAATGGTTCAAAACAATTGGCAAGCGAGTTCGGAAGTCACTTTTCCCACGGAGAAAGGATAGAACAAGAGATTCAACTTCTTATGAGAATGCCACTATGGTTTAGCTCTCGCTAAGTTTGCTGTTATCATTACCATTCTTCGACACTTTCGCGGCTTTTTGACCACATTCTGGGATTGTCTCTTGCTTGATTTCGTGGCTTTCTCCGTGAGTGAGACCTGTATCCTATGTTCTGTGGCTAAATATACTGTGCTTACATTTGATGCACGTAGTTGGTCTTGAGATGCTTCGCCTCCCTTCCTCCGAGGAAGTTTATACGGGCATGTCACGACCAGAGCCGGGAAAACCCCGGATAAGCACATCAATTCTCGAATGTGATAACCCTTGGCTGTCTATAACTCCAAGAGTATATAATTTGTTACACTCGAGGTAACTATGGGTAACTGAGGTTATTAATAGAGCTCGAATCCTCTAATCCCCATCTGGATCCGCCATCTAAGACATATAAAATTAGTGGGAAAAAAAAGAGGAAAACTCTCATCTTATGTAGAACCGTACAGAATACCATTAAATGAATATTTTCAAATTTTACCTCGAGCACCACTGTCATTGATACGCTCACACCGTAAGAGGAACGGAGGCGCTTCTCTCCTGTATCCGGGGACAGGTCCCTGACGCTAAACCTCTTTGGGAGCCGAAGTTCCACAAGCCATGGGGAACTAGTATACGGTACGAAGAGAACCGTATTGTAAAGTACACTTAGTATTGAACACCCGCAATGAAGTACATTACTGTACAGATATGAATGTAATATAACAGACCCTGACCCCCATCGTGGCTTTGAGATTGTGATGAAACTGTGGTTGCCCGATTTCCCCTTCCCCCCCGTTTTCCTCTGGTTGAGACCTTATCCTCCTTACCACTTCGTCACTCTTTGTCTTCCACTTTCCCACACTCTTTACAGTCGCTCTTTAGCCCACACGTTCTTTTACTCTAGACTCGCTGTGCGATCTTGAATCCAATCCCTTATCCAATTTCCAATTTGTGATTTCGATCTCCGACCTCTAATCTTTCACCATGCTCTTCAACAAGTCTATCTTCGCCGTGGCCATTGTGGCTTTGGCTAATGTTGTGACTGCCACCACCGTGCAAACCCCGGCCTGTGTTCTCAAAATCATCGGGTATGTCCCGAAGGAATGGAAGGAATGCTAGTGGAGTCCTGAGCTGATGACATCTAGCAACCAAGCCAACCCGGCCGATTCGAAGACTATCTGCGGCTCGAGCGCTAGCAAGATCCAGTCTGATATTTCCAAGAACTGTGCCGATAGCCAGGCTTCCCTGAAATTCTTCGTCAACAACTGCGCCCTGCTCGGCCACAAAGTTGGTAAGGATCGACACATCCAAGAGCATGTTGCACTATATCACTGAATCGGTTACTTATTATCTTCTCTTTAGTGGCTGATGTTTCCACCACTACTGGCACCTCTGATATCTCTACTGCCACCGGCACTGCTGGGGGCTCTACAGCCACCGGCTTCGTCACCGCTGTCTCCTCTGTCTCTGCTACCAAGACTGGTGCTTCCGTTGCTACTGGCACTGCCTCCAACCCTGCTACTGGTACCTCGGCGATCAGCACTGGCACCGCCTCCGAGTCTGGTGTCGTCGCGTCCGCTTCTCCGACTTTCAACGCCGCTGCGTCCGACCGCCACTTCTCCGCCACCAGCTTTGTTGCCGTGGTGTTCCTCGGCGCTGCTGCTTTGCTGTAAGAATTCAGCATTAACTGACAGCGGCTCAACGTGAATATCGATGTGAGCATATTATTAGCCTTAATTTTGCTCCTTTCGATCTGAATTGAATCGTTGTTCAGGGATCTTGTTCGAATTCTGATATGTTGCTCGTCTATGTCAATATTTGAACTCCGTGAACTTTTATCTTCTTACTTGCCAAAATCGCATTGATTTATGTGCTATTCACTTCCCCAGAACAATTCTTGAAACCGCCGAGGTCTGCTCAATTGCCAATCAGTCGGTCGATGTAAACAGATTCAAATGAATCAGTGACCAAAATGCCAGGACATTCCCTAATAGAAGAGAACGAGCAATACGGAGTACATCCGAAGTACTCCTGCGGTCATCCCCGCACCTCTTGGCCCCTTGATTAAAAGGACGATGTAGATCTATCACATTGACGTGTACAATGCGGCAAGGCTCCAAGGTTGGGATCGGGCATGATGTTGACTAAGACATATGGATAAATATCACGCTGTCAAAAATCACCTCAATTTCGTAATGACGTTTAAAGATCATCTGAGCCGGAATGCTTCAGGCCGCTCGGCGACAGCTCTTCCGTTGCCATGTTGCCATGCGCGATCCTTCGCGTGTTCACGTGACCATTCGCGATCTGCAGTTTGGCTGCAAACCTAATCTCACCGCCTATTCTCTAGTCACACCGCCTTCCCTATTCTAACTAGAAACCCCACGCTAAGGCCATTCGGATCAAGACGCTAACTGCAAATGGTATAAATGGATGTTTCTGCCTGGCAGGATGCAGGTTTGCAAGGAAAGGTGGACCCGATCTTGGTAAGCTGAAAAAACGCGGGCAACGCGAAAAGACAACGCGTCCACTCGGCAACCAAAGATTCCTCTGCCCCTCTGATCTCTTTCTTCTTCTCACACCCCTCTACGGGCTTCATACATTCATCTTTCCCCCTTTCTCTATATTCTAATAGCATCTCAATCCTCCTACTACTTTGACTTTGATACCCTGTTCTCGTCTTTCTATTATTTCAACTACCAACTTATCACTATTCAAAATGTTTGTCTACAAGAGAGGTAAGTGCATATATGGTCTTCTGATACACGGAAGCATTCGTGGCAAGAGATAGCTTCTGCTCCTTCATCTCGCCACAGCTACCTGGCTTTGCCACGCCACTGTTTTTGGATCGACGGCTAACGCGGATACAAACTGCAGATGGACGCAAGGAACGCGTGCAGTTCGACAAGATCACCGCACGTGTCTCGAGGCTCTGTTATGGCCTCGACCCCGAGCACGTTGATGCCGCAGCCATCACCCAGAAGGTCATCTCTGGTGTCTACCAGGGTGTTGGCACCGTGGAGCTGGACAACTTGGTATGTTCACTTGCTTGCCCCGACTTATGGCATTATGTTAATGTTTCAATCCTAGGCTGCTGAGACTGCTGCATACATGACCGTTACACACCCCGACTACGCCATTCTGGCTGCACGTATCGCCGTTTCCAACCTCCACAAGCAAACAAAAAAGCAATTCTCCATGGTCATCTCCGATCTCTACCATTATGTCAACCCCAAAAACAATAAGCCCGCTCCTATGATCTCAGATGAACACTACGAGATCGTTATGAAGCATGCCGAGGAGCTCAACTCGGCTATTGTGTACGACCGTGACTTCAACTACAACTACTTCGGATTTAAGACCCTCGAGCGGTCATACCTTCTTCGGATTAACGGCAATGTTGCTGAGCGTCCTCAGCACTTGCTGATGCGTGTTGCTGTCGGAATTCACGGCGAGGACATTGAGAAGGCCATTGAGACATACCACTTGATGTCCCAAAAGTACTTCACTCACGCCTCCCCCACTCTGTTCAATGCCGCTACTCCCCAACCCCAGCTCGCATCTTGCTTCCTGGTTGACGTGAGCGCAGACAGCATTGAGGGTATTTATGATACTCTCAAGACCTGTGCCATGATCTCCAAGACCGCTGGTGGTATCGGTCTCAATGTCCACCGCATTCGCGCTACCGGTTCTTACATTGCTGGAACCAACGGCTCCTCCAACGGTATTGTTCCTATGCTGCGTGTGTTTAACAACACCGCACGTTATGTGGACCAGGGTGGTAACAAGCGCCCCGGTGCCTTTGCCATCTACCTGGAGCCGTGGCACGCCGATGTCTTCGAGTTCCTCGATCTGCGCAAGAATCACGGTAAGGAGGAGGTTCGCGCTCGTGACCTTTTCTACGCTCTGTGGACCCCCGATCTCTTCATGAAGCGCGTCGAGGCCAACGGTGACTGGACGCTCTTCTGCCCCAATGAGGCCCCTGGCCTAGCTGATGTCTACGGTGATGAGTTCGAGGCTCTCTACGCCAAGTACGAGCAGGAGGGCCGTGGCCGCAAGACCATCAAGGCTCAGAAGCTCTGGTACGCCATTCTCGAGGCCCAGACTGAGACTGGTAACCCCTTCATGCTCTACAAGGATGCTTGCAACAAGAAGAGTAACCAGAAGAACCTGGGTACTATTCGCAGCTCTAACCTGTGCACTGAGATTATCGAGTACAGTGCCCCTGATGAGGTGGCTGTTTGCAACCTGGCTTCTCTCGCCCTCCCCACCTATGTCGACTCTGCGCGAGGCGAGTATGATTTCGGCAAGCTCCACGAGGTCGTCCAGGTTCTCGTGCACAATCTGAACAAGATCATTGATATCAACTACTACCCCGTTCCTGAGGCGAAGAAGAGCAACTTCCGTCACCGCCCCATCGCTCTCGGTGTCAACGGTCTTGCTGATGCTTTCCTGGCTCTGCGTCTGCCGTTCGACTCTCCCGAGGCCAGACAACTCAACATCCAGATCTTCGAGACCATCTACCACGGTGCCTTGACTGCTTCCGCCGAGATTGCCAAGAAGCTGGGTCCCTATGAGACTTACCCTGGCTCTCCCGTCTCGCAGGGCATCCTGCAGTACGACATGTGGGACCGCACCCCTACCGATCTCTGGGACTGGGCCTCCCTGAAGGCCAAGATTGCCGAGACTGGTGTCCGCAACAGTCTGTTGGTTGCCCCCATGCCTACTGCCAGTACCAGTCAAATTCTGGGCTTCAATGAGTGCTTCGAGCCTTACACCTCGAACATCTACTCCCGCCGTGTTCTGGCTGGTGAGTTCCAGATCGTCAACCCTTGGCTCCTGAAGGATCTGGTCGACCTCGGCCTGTGGTCCGACAACATGAAGAACCGTATCATCGCCGATGGCGGCTCCGTCCAGAACATCCCTAACATCCCCGCCGATATCAAGGCCCTGTACAAGACCGTTTGGGAGATCTCCCAGCGCAACATTCTACAGATGGCCGCCGATCGCGGTGCCTTCATCGATCAGTCGCAGTCCCTCAACATCCACTTGAAGGAGCCCACCATGGGCAAGCTGACCAGCATGCACTTCGCCGGCTGGAAGATGGGTTTGAAGACCGGCATGTACTACCTGCGTACCATGGCCGCCTCCGCCCCCATCCAGTTCACCGTTGATCAGGAGCAGCTCCTGGTCGAGGACACCAACATCGCTCGCTCTAAGAAGCGTACTGGTGCTGCCGGTGCCTCCGTTTACTCGGCTATTCCCCGTACCAATGGTGCTGAGCCCGCTATCGCCAAGGCCGTCGCCCCTGTCGAGGAAACCCCTCGCAGTGTGGCTGCACCTGCTGTTTCTGCTCCTACTGCCGTGGAGACCGATGAAGTTGCTGAAGCTGAGCCTGAAGATGCCGAAAGTAGGGCAAAGGAGGGCGATATATTCTCAGATGCGGTTCTTCAGTGCAGCATCGAGAACAAGGATGCCTGCATCATGTGCCAGGGTTAAGCTTTCTTTCCCTTTAATGCTTTTGGATGTTTCCTTGGGGCTTTGTATATGGCCATGTCTTCTTTCCTGGCTTCTCACGTGTACTCATTATGATTTTGATGGACTTTTCTTTTTCTTTGCGTGTTTCGGCGTCGGTTCAAGATATTTCCTGGATTTTCTTATTATTACTTCAATAACGTGTTAGTTATGTTCTTCATTCTTCTTTGTAAACTTTAGTACGGAGTAGGCCAAGTAGATATTCCTTGTTGTACAGGACTAGTCTCAGCCTTGTATATTCAAACCCTATTATCTCATTCCTAATTTTAAATTGCTTAAACTTGGCTGATTATTTGAGTAGAGCTGTGAAAGTAGAACTCTCAAATGTCGTTTGGATGTCTACCTTGAGGCAAAGAAGAGATGATCGAGTACCTACTATTGGTAACTTACTTGCAAGAATCCAGCCTTATTGTATATACCATACGATTTGTCCCACTATAAACTGTTTATAGTTATATTTACAAGCAAGGCTATAGAGAACAACAACTATGCTATCTTCAACCCATTGAGTAAACACATATCAACACTCCCGCCCATTAGATGATCTATCTTCGTATAGGCCATAACATAGCCGTATCACAACGCATACCACCCGCGCTTCCTTTCACCGATATGGCCGGTGAGGTAACTCAGCAAGATGAGGGGTCAAGCTCCCTCCATGCACCTCTTTAGGCGGTGATGGCGGGACATTATGAACCACCCAAGGGTGTATTGTTTCCGGAGATATCGTTTTGCCATTGGAGTTTCGTATCTTAAAGTAGAGCAGCACACCCAAAATGCATAGTATCGGGAGACCAACTCCGATTCCGATTCCGATTGCGATCTTTTCGGTCATGGCTAACTGGGATGTTTGGCCAGAGGCTGAGATCGACAGAGACGATAAGGATGACGATGACGGTGAGGAGGAGAGCTTGATGGTCGTATGTGGCGTATTTGTCGACGCGGACGCAGATGCAGATGTGGATGTTGTTGAAGACGCAGTAGTGCTGGTAGTGGCGACAGGCTCGGTGACGTTGAAGTATGTGGAAACAAATCCACCCTTCTCATCTGGGTTGATCCAGAGAAAGAAGACGTTTGAGTACGACAGATCAAATCCGTACACCTGAACAACCCACGTGAAGTTGGTGACATAGTCGGTGGAATGTATTTTGGCTAGAAGACGTGTCAATCAATCATCCCGTATTTTGCAGCCTTGGGAGTAAGTAAGTGTCGGGAAACTAACAGAAAATATTTCCCTGGCTGGCGGCACCTGTCTCTACCAAGCTTTGCTGCCAGATAGAGACGTTGAATACCTCAAGCGTGGTCTTCCATGAGACAACTAGCTTGTCACCTAGTGTGAAGACTGGATTCACGCCAGTGTTGGAGGCTGGATTTGTGAAATAATTGTAATCGTCACCTCCAGCCACGAGAGAAGCGACACCTGCGAGGAGCAATATGAGAAATCTGGGATGACGCATGACGAAGCGAGCCACAAGGTCAAGTCTGAGAATCGATGGGGACCCGGGAATTGGCGGTTATAGTTGATGATATATGAGTCTCGCGCTGGTGGGCTGGGGGGGGGGGGGGGGGGAAAAAAAAAAAAAAAAAAAAAACACCTCCCCCCCACACCAAACAAGGGTTTTTATATATAAATAAGCGAAAAAATTTTATAAATAAA